CTCCAGAAGTGACTGAAAATTTCTTAATAAAGGCCATTTTGTTCTTTAGAGAGCCCTTCTGCCCCCCCAGGCACCCCCTCTTCCCCCCCCCCCCCCCCCCCGACCACCCTCCCACAGGCATTCACGTCTCTAGATCCGTCCTTGTCTTACAGCATTCTCATTCTGTTGATCTGTTGTTGGTTTTTTGGCACTTATTTCGGCAAAGGCACTATACACAAGTTACCGTATCATAATGTATTTGATAAGAAAAGACCTTTCGGCAAATCCATCCAATAAATTTAAAAATAGAACTGATGTCTATACATCAACAGTCCACACAGGCAACTCCTTGAGGGAAGTCTGTTGACAGCATGTTAAGTAAATTTCCATCAACAATAATTGAGCAGAATACCTGTTTTGGAGGTAATGCTAATTTTCTTTAAAGGTACTTTTCATTTCTGCGTCCCCTGGGGCACGTTGGGCCCTCTCGACGGACCCTCGTGTCCAAAGATTTTGAGAGGCCTGAAGGAAGTATCTTGTAGCTGACCTGTGGGCTGAGGGAATTTGCGAATTCTGCCCCCCACCTTGGCAACCATATCCGAACCGCCTAAGAAAACCTTTACCTCCGGGTGGACGGGATGGGGAAGGGGGTATTAGTAGGCAGTCCTACCGTAGCTCGGAGCGGACTTTCTAATAATGTGAACAAATTTCTGTTTTCCAGATTGTCAGCAAATCTTTCAATTGAGGATTATGTCTCGAAATATTGCTTCCCTGTCTTTATGAAGACCGCGGGGAATGTTGTCAAACAAGCAGAAGTACAGAGTGAATGGCAGACCTTTTAGATACAGAGTGACACAAGGTTGCCAAAAAAAAACAGACACGAGGCATGCCTAAAAAAAAACGGTCCTAAAAAAAACCACAAATTGTATTCAAAATTCTTCATTGCTCCAGAGTGGAAGCTGAAGATTTGTTGAACAGTTGTTTAATTGTCTTGATTTGAGAGCAACAGTGCTCATAAAACTACACTGTTAAAGGGGAACCCTTGAATTAAAAAAGTTGTTCAGTTTGTTTTATAATCACGTCAAGACCAGAATATACAAAACTAGTCAAACCACAGTTTGCCTATGAGATCTGTGCGTGAACAAGAGAGGGTGCATTTCTAGAGCTCTGTGGATGAGACACAATGCGTGCACATACTGTTTTGTGCGCATACATGAACATTGTACAACGCAAACTACGCACAACTGAGTTTACTCTGAATGTGCAATATAGCGTCTTCGCATGAGCGTCTTCGCGTCAGCGTCTTCCTGCGAGTGTCATGCGTCATCGGCAATGCGTTCAAATGTCCCTCCTGGTGGTCTCCCCCAACTCTCTCTTTCTTACCATCAGGGATGTGATTGGTCTGTGACAAAAAACCTGAAAATTGTATGCATGAAGTGCAAACTCCGGCGAGCGCGAAGCGCGAAGCCATTATGGCGTGGGGTCCGGGGCCCGCTTAAGGGCCCCAGAAAATTTTTGATTTTAGATGCTCTGTGGTGCAATCTGAGGCAATTACTGGGCACTTTCCTCTGAAATTCTGAAGCAGAATTTGTTTTAATTTTATGAAGAATTTTCCTTTATTTGTTAAAATGTACTCTTGTTCTAATAAAGTTTTTTTTCTGTACTCAAAGTTGAGAGCCATGCTGTTCTCCCCAGGATTTTTTCAAACCTGTGGGGGAATTTTTGTTGTGATACAACAACCTGCGAAGCCACAGCGTGGGTTCGGGGCCCGCTTATTAAAGGCCCCCAAAAATTTTGAACTTTAGAAGCTTTCTGGTGCATTTTAGAGCATTTCAGAGGAGATCTTGTAATATTTTTGTAAAAAAAAATCAAAATTGTAAACTTAAATCACTTCTGCTTCCGATAACATGCCTTTCAAAATAGCGTCGGTAGTATTGTTGGAAACAAAATATTTCACCATTTCTATATTTGTAGTAAAGCAAGGAATCGTTTATATTTCATGTATTTTGTGCATGGATTATTCTCATTTGCGCCACAAAAATTATCAAGACTAGCCATCAAAAGTGATTAAAACTTGCCTCACCTAATTAAAAATATATTTGAGGTGGGTTATTCCACAATTATGCTTAACGTACATCACGGCCGCTAGCGCCACAAACATTCAGTCTGGCCGGCCGTACATCGCGCCGTACACACGGCCGGCCCGGCGCAGTATCAGTGTGCATTGCTGCACTGTGTACGGCCAATCCCACGTGGCCGAAAATTCTGCAGGACTGCAGAAACACGCTACGATGTTTCTCCACAGGTTCGAGTTTTGCAATCTCGTCATTTCAATGGAAAATACAAAATGAAGATCACGTTCTGTGAATTAATTTGCAGAAATCCTCTTTTTCCATCGATGGTTGTTTGGTATTTTTACGCACGGAAAACGAACCTGTGAGTACTTGCAGTAGTCACTGGTTCCGGTCCTTCATCATAGCATTGATTCTGTTAGCACGCGAAGGGTACCAGTGTACCATGCTGCACTCGTCTGCACACCTGACCAGCGCAACACGTGCATCTCAAGTACCGACACAGGAACTATACCTACATAACCACAACCTCGGCCCCGAGCGAAAAATCACATAATCGCACTAATGGCAACGCATGGTCTGCAACTTCGTTCTCACATTGGGTGTTCAATATGTGCGTGCGGCATACATACACCGTATCGATCAACGAAGTTTATGTCCGTAAGTAAATTTCGGATATTTCGGCAAGCAAAACTCACGTTGGTGGACTTTTGAGGCCCAAAAAAACGGAGAAATCACATCCCTGTACCATTGAGGGGGTTCTTATGCAAGGAGCCCACAGCAATCTGCAAACAAGTCTTAACAAAGTCGAGAAGCTTATAAATTCTCCGCTTTTTCAGAAAGGGATTTGCAGTGCCCATCCAGGCCTCACCCCACCTTCCGCCATTTTCTATCTACGCCTGGTTGCGGCTGTAATTAGACTGTGGATTGAAAGTCACGGTTTGGTGCGGCCTGCAATTGGGCCGTGCACCCAACGCCGCTGGCAGGAAATCAGATAACCTGGTTTTTGGTTATCGACACGACATTGAACGGGAGAAATTTCAGGGGAAGGGGGAAGGGAGGGGTACGTCATTTAACATATTTGATCAATTATCTCAAAGGAATGATGTGCAGGTGTTTATGGATGCAAGGTTCCCACAGAAATCTTGAAATGAACTTTCATGACATTTCCAGAACAAAATCAGGGCTTTCCACGACCAATCCCTACGCTGTTTTGGCATCTTAAGAGCAAATTGCTCTGGAGGCAAGGGACGCCATCTCTTTCAACCTTCCAGTTTGGTAAGAGATGACCGAGCACCACAAAAGTGTCAAAATGGTGCATTGAATACGCAACAAGTATACATGTAGAGCATGTATGCATAATGCCTTTTTACCTAGCAACGACGTCCCATGGCGGGACATTTCGCTGGTTGACGCGCACCGTTCCTTGTGTGTGACGCACATACACCAGGGGATTTGTACTATGTACACGCAGTGGCCGTGCTTCGCGGCAAACGAATTGCAGTCAGGCAAGATGGCGTCGATCGGTCACCCCCAACTGTACTCTTTTTGCCGGTGAGGGGGTACTTGTGAACGGAGCAGATAGTAAACTGGAATGCAAACTGGAAGACTGCCGTAGCCAAATATTATGCATCACCACGTATGGGTTGTGCAGGATTCCATGATCTTTTCCATGACTTTTTTCTTGGAATATCAACTATCCATGATTCCTTGACTCTACAGGGCGAGTCAAAAAAGGAAACCCAAATGGCGCCCTCTATTTTGTAAAGAGTTCTGAGTGTAGCACTTTCCAGATCTAGGATGTGAAAGCCCAATTAACAAGCTTTCTTTAAGTTAAAGAATCATTCAAACTACTCATGCACTTTTTGAGTTATGGAATTTTGAACACAAACAGAGTTTTAAAATTGTGTCCACGGATCACAGCTAAGATACGTGATATTTCAGTAAAATGAAACCATGTCGTATATTGAAAAGTCTCCGGGTAGCCAAGTAGAAGGCAGGGCAAGACTTTAAACTCTTGACATTATAAGCATGTTGTTTTAACATTGAAAGCAGGTGTTTAAATAAAGGTTATGATAAGTACCAGTTTTCATGGTTATGAGAGTGTTCTGATGCGTTTTTTATATACAGGTGAATTGTTTTCGTTTTGCTGAAATATCACCTTTATTGTGATCCGTGGACAAAATGATAAAACTACGTTTGTGTTTAAAAGTTCATAACTTGAAAAGTACATGAGCGATATATGAACGATTCTTTTACTAAAATAAAGCTTATTAGTTGGGCTTTTACATCCTAGATCTTGAACGCGCTACATGCAGAACTTCTTTAAAAAATAAGGGGCGCCATTTGGGTTTCTTCCTTTTTTTTGACTCGCCCTGTATAATGTATTGCCAATGGCGCCCAACACTCTCACAACGACATTATGGGTTTGTGCACATTCAAAATAAAATGTAGCTTCTGTATTTCACAAACTACGCACGCAAACCAGGGGCCATATTTCACAGCGCTGCTCAGCACAAAAATTTGCTTAGCACAAAAATAGTCTGGCTTATAAAAGCAGGTTACCAGCCAAAACTCCACGTGATGTATATTGCTCGTAATTAGTATTCCGCTGTTGTTTGCTTAGCATGAAAAATCACACGGAGTTTTGGCTGGTTAACCTGATTTTATAAGCCAGACTTTTTTTGTGCTAAGCAAATTTTTGTGCTTAGCAGCGCCGTGAAATTATCCCAGTGCTCACACGAAATGCGTCCCTCCCACCGGCACTCTCATGACTGGTGACACACCACCATCTACTGTCCATGCACAGGGTCTTAGGCAATGGCTCTCAAAACAAGGCCAATCAGCAGCGTTTAACAGGTGCGCACAAATGAAGTAGGCACACTGGATAAAGTCATTAAAACTTAGGCACCTCTGGAGCCCACTGAACACCTGTTGTCTTCAACTTACACGCAAAATACAACGTAGCCGCCAAGCTCTCTCTTTGGTCGACGAATCCTCCGGATGAAGTCAGGCTGGCGATGCAGGAGTAGGTCCCCTCGTCGCCGCGCTGCGTCGGCGACACGTGTAGGGTTCCGTTAGGGTAGACAGCCACGCGTCCGCCAGCACTCACGGGGGCGCTGTTGTGTTTCCATTGGATCGTGATGGTGCCCGGGCGCTGGTCATCAAAGGCCATGCAGTGGAATTGCAACGGCTGGCCCTGGGCAACCACTGTATCCATAGGCTCTTCACGAAACTCTGTGGAGTAACAATATAAATAAGTTAAAATGAGTGTCTCTTATTTTAAGATTGTTCAAACCACTGTAATTACTGTGTCTGCTTTTCAATTTGACTCAAAGAGAGATACGTTTATTGCCAGTGTGATAATGGTACTTCAGATGGGCTCCGTGCGCAAACAACAGAGGGCGCTTTCTGACCATTATCAAGGGCCCAGTGGACAGGGCCCAATTTCACGGCGCTGCTAAGCAAAACATTTGCTTAGCACAAAAAACCCTGGATTACAAAAGCAGTTTACCACCCAAAACTCCACGTGATTTTCATGCTATAGCAAACAACAGCTGAATACTAACCAAGAGCAATATAAATCACAGGGAGTTTTGGCTGGTAACCTGCTTTTATAAGCCAGACTTTTTTTGTGCTAAGCAAATTTTTGTGCTTAGCAGCGCCGTGAAATTGGCCCCAGGACACACCACATACGCATACTGGCTTGCGGGTATAGCACAAAGCGTGCACGACTAATTAATTTGAATGTGCACAAAGCCATAGCGTCTTCATGTGAGCGTCAAGCATCATCAGAAAACCGTAGTTTGCCATTTATAATCAGTCTTGGAGGACGACTGCATTATGAAGTGCATCAGAATTATAAAATGATAGATGTCAGATGCAACAGGGACAGGAAAAAAACTGGATGCTAAATTTAAAGAATGACCCAATTACAAAGTCTGCTCAGTTTCATATGAACCCATTTTTAACTTTCCAGAAACTGATTTATTTCATATAACTTGGATAAACAGGTCGTCCATACCCATACTGATAATCTCAACAAGTGTCATCGATACTTAGTATGAACATTGAGCAGGTGTGACTAAAACGCTTCATCCTGTGAAACATGTCACTGACGAATTGCAAAAAACACCTGGAAAAAGCCTGCAGAGCTGAATATTAGCAATGACAGATGACACGAACACTGTATATTATTGATTATCTACACGCATACTTGAATCTGCAATTCTGATTCATCGATCCATGGCAACAACATTGTACTATTATCCCATACACTACTGTACAGAATGGCCCCCCAAAATTTACAATTTTCCAGACGCAGATTTCTCAAAATTGGGGAAACATGTTGAAATTGTTCTATGATATTCCCAAACTACAAGATCTTGGTGCTATATGGTGAAAATGGCATTGGAAATAAAGGCTGAATTAAGTAATGGCTGCCATTTACAGAAAAATGGTCAATAACCAGTTTGTCTACACGTGTGTTATTATGAGATATGGTCAAAACAATAGACCTGGGTGTATAAAGAACTGAAATACCAATGACCATATCTGATGATACACATGTGTGGAATAACTGGTTTTGACAGTTTTTCTGTAAATGGCTGCAAATTCTTAATTTAGGTTTTATTTTCAATGCCGATTTTACCATATACCACCGAGATAGTGTAGTTTATGAATATCTTTAAAAAAATACCGACATGTCTACCCAATTTTCAGAAATCTGCATTTAAAAAGGGGTTAGTTTTTTATTTTGAGCACCCTGTACACTCCACCCCGAGTGTTTCACTATTCTAAAATAATAATAAAGACATGTATATGGCGCTTTATGTAAAATATCTCACAGCGTTTCACAATAAAAACTGTAAAACATACCAGTAGGCAATACAAATACTTAAAAAAAAAAAAATTACTGAACGTGCTACAGTGAACATACATGTAAGTACTAAAACACGGAAGCAAACAAAACTAAAATGCAAGTTGCAAAATGCAAGATGCGCACGCTATTCCTGCTGTGTGCACAGGTAATAGGAAAACCATTGAAAAATGTGTGTACAGCGTGTGTGTTCCATCTTTACTGGGCGTCATCTTTGCTTGAAGGTAAATCCCACTCGCGCCCGTAGAACATGGAAAATGTAGTCTGTCTGTGTCCATGCATGAAGGCCAAAGGCATTTGGAACACAGACGCACTACATTATTCTGTGTTCCACTCATGCTCTTGAGGTAACTAATATGATGATTGTATACTGGTCACCGAGAGGATGATGAATATTTGATTTATTAGATCACAGACGGATGTGAACAATTTTCATATTTCGCAAGGTTAGAGGCGTGTGATTGTTTCAGTGTGTTCAGTGTAACATATATCCTGCACTGCTGCGTATAAAGGTCGTTTGTATCGACATGTGAAAAAAAGTGAAATATTGATGAAAAAGTAAATAACGAAAAAAAACTCCTTTAAAGTTTCTTCTGGTATGGTTGTGAGACCTGGACAATAGCAGAGATGGAGAAGAGAATCAACGCATTTGAGATGAATGGTATGCAGAGACTGTTCCAAGTTCATTACTCAAGCCACACCACTAACCAAGCAGTGCATGAGCTAATGGAGAGCTATATTGGCAAACAAGAGAGATTATTCACAGTCGTCAAAAAGAGAAAACTGCTCTGGTTTGGACACATGGTCAGATGAAAGGGGAGTCTCGCAAACATAATCCTGGAGGGTGGGACACAATCCTGGAGGGTGGGACAGATGGTAGACGCAAAAGGGGAAGACAGCAGAAAATGTGGGCAGACAACATCAAGGAGTGGACTGGTCTTAACTGGGCACAACTTCTTAGAACAGCAGAAGACTGAAACAAATGGTGGAACTGTGTGACAAATGCCATCATAACGTCGCCCCTACGGCCGTAACACTATGGGACAGAAGGAAGGAAGGATATTGGGTTTTGCCATTAACACATGTATATATATTTTATAACTCGGTGGTCATGTGGTAGGACGTCTACACTAGTAAACAAGAGGTCGTTGGTTCGAGTCCCACCTGAGTAGTTTGTGAATTTTTTTTCTCACAACCAATCAGGACAACACTGATACAGTGTTTGTAAAATACATCAGTGACAGGCAAAACCCAATATTGAATTGAAATTACTGGTTTTTAATTAATTTTGTTTGTTTCCATTTGCTTCAGTTTCAAAATCTCAAGAAATCACAATTTTGGTGCTTAACATGCTTTGCTGATGCGTAACATTTTTAAGGCTTTTTTCCCCCTTTGATATAAGTTTTCAACCTTTCAGATTTTTTTTAAAGAATTAGGCCTATTACATGCATATGTATCTCTTCAACAATATCTGAGAGAAATTGAAGGCTGGATCCAGAACACAATTTTTTTGGGGGGGGGGGCCCAAAAAAAATGTGTGTTCCCGAAAAAGTGGGTACAAAAATTTTCCGCCCCAAATTTAATACAAAAGGCAAGGGGAGGGGGTGGAAATGTATTGCTTTTGTTGAGCTTTGTGGGTGGTGTATGCAATGGCTGCCTTTTTTGGGACGTTACCATTGGCCCCCGTTGCCGCCCCCCCCCCCCCCCCCCCCGGATCCACTGTTGGAGAAATCCACAGTGTTGTGGTTGAGTCCATCACAAGTCTAGTCAAAAGTAAATCACAAGTGCATTCACAAGCAACAGAGGATGAACAATATCAATGGAATGCCTTTGTCAAAGCTCATTTGAATAGCTTGTGACTTGAGACTGGGTGACTGATGATGAACTTGTGAGGAACTAGCCTTTAGTCAAGGCGCGCGTGTCTACCCGGACGCGTGGTGCCCCAGATTCTGGCACGAAAAAAAAAACCAGTCGAGTGGCGAAGCCACGGGCACCTTAACAATCGCGTGGAGCTAAGGCCAAAAAAAAAAAATATTCGGTCTCTGGTCAGACCAAAGTTCCGGAATTGACGTGGCCACGCGGTTTTTTTTTTTTTTTTTTGCTTTTATTTTTTTTCTTCAAGCTTGGATTGTACAGACAAGGCGGGGGTACTATTTTGCTTTTTTGGTGTCCTCATGTACATTGGTGTCCTCCATAATTTGCCTTGGTGCTTTCAATCATTCGCCTTGGTGCTTTCAATCATTCGCCTTGGTGCAATTTCCCATTCCTTGGTGCTCTTTGGTAAAAAAATTGAGGAGGTGCAGAAATAGAGGGCGCTGTTGGAGCTACCGCGGAACATTTTGGGAAAAAAAGATCGACGCGCATGATTAAAATCGACGCGCGCGCTGACCAGAGACCGACTTGTTTTTTTTTTGGCCTAATCATCATTCAGTTTTTCGAGTAATATGAATCATGCATGTATGCGGATATATATGAACCAATCACCACGAAAAGGCAATTTTTTAGGTGATGACGCACGCGCGTCGCCACACACAGCGCGCGCCACACACATTCTAAATAACACGACGTGCATGCATTCACAACATGTCATGCATTATGCATGAAAATTTGTCTACCAAATTGGTAGACAAAATGTAAAGAAAAACATAAGCGCTCTCCATGAGATGGTAACTTAGGCCTTCCCGGCTTCGCCGCTCATGGTAGTCTTTTTACGTGCCAGCATACCGGGTGCGTCCAAGTCCGGATAAGCGCGTGGGACTTGACTAAAGGCTAGTGAGGAACTTGCGGGGACTTATGATGCACTTGACTACAACACTAGCGATCCCTCATCCATCACTAAAGGTTAGCACTGTTTTACACATTTGTTGCACTTTCGATCACGTTGAAATAGCCCTCCAAACGCAACTGGAAATCACGATTAGATCTTAGGAACAGGAAACCAACACAATTGTGACAAACGTTTAGTATTTCCAGCTCAATTTGTTAAAGGAAATCTCAACCCTCGGGCCTAATTGGTAACAACGAACGAAAGCCCGATCCCTCAAGACAAAACTTGCCCGGTGCAGTCCTGTGGAAGTTCAAACAGAACTAAAACCATAGCTGGAAAACATTTTCTTCTCATTTCTTGCCCTATGAATCATCGCAACCTTTCATAAATAAATGGACTGTGGAATTTCTGACATTTCGACTTTATAGGCGGGTGTGCCGCTGTACACACACTGCACGCCCAATCAAGTTTTTTTTTTTCTTTCGGATGTCGTGGCTTGGGCAGATAGGGCGACAGGCAGGAACTGGTGTTAATTCTCACGGAGATTATGAGATAAACCATCCTCCCCCGAAAATGCGCTCTTATCTGTTT